TTTCATTCTACAATAATCTCTGGTAAGGGATCTTTCATGAACCACGTAGCCTATCTGTGGGGGGAGGGGGTCTAACAAAAGGCTTACCGCGTATTTCAAATTAAGACTCACGCATTTCTTTTACAATTTCTTGATTTAAAATTTAAATAAGTGGCTAGTCTCACCGTTTGTACTTGTTAATGACATAAATTAAAAGTTAAAATAAAAAATTTTTTTTTTTTTTTTTTGTATTAAGAAACTTAGTAACTTTTGGGGGAGAAGTGATGGGCGGAAAGCTACGAGGGAAGAGGGTCTAAAAGTATCGAAACTCAAGATACATGGTTTATGGAAGGTCCCTAACGTGTAGGGATTGCTCCATGTAGTCGTTAAATCCTCTACTTGACTCTTTTCCTTAGAACACCCTGTATGCTACATTGTCACTTCGATCTATATATAAAACATTTTAATCTGACAAAAAGTGGTAAACGTCATTCTAAAAATACCTTTGCTACTGGGGTGGGGGGGTTCAATAAGCCAAAAATTTATACTGATTGCCCACAAAAAGTAGGAGAAAAATGGATAAGCTTGACGAAGAAAACTTAAAACGAATTCGGGAAACATTTTTCAAATTTACCGACGATACAAACGAAAAAATAATAAAGGAAGCGGTTGAACCGGTGATACGGGCTTTAAATTACTGCCCATCAGAATTAAATCTATCTCTTTTGGTCGATACTATGAGCGAAGACGAAAACGGATGCATTTCATTTGAAGATTTCGTCAGTGCGATAAGTCGAACAGCGATTCACTTTTACAAAAATGTTCGCAGCATAGAAGAAGTATTTGCTCCGTTGATCAAAAAAAGTTTGGGATACTTGGATGCCTCGACGATCGGTGCATTCCTTGGTAGTTTGGGTAACAAATTAACAAACGATGAAATCGACGAGTTGTTCAAAGTGGCTGAAGTTTCAGACGATAACAAATTTTACGTTTCGTTATTTGCTCGAAATGTCAGCAAGTATTTAGTCTCAACAAAGGTTGACTTTGATATAATAAGGCCTGCGTTATTACAGTATGAATTAAACGAATGAGAATTATTTCGCGTGTTGGTAAAATTAAGAGGACAGGATTTATGTATATATCAATTCTAAATAAAAATATTGCATCTATTTTCTTTCATTATTAGAATTCCAATAGCTACAAACCCTCAGGTATAAAAAAACTTAAAAACTTTTGGGTGTTTCATTCCCACCAGCCACATATGCTGGTGGGCGGGCAGCCCCTCCGGACTGCGTCGGAAGGTAGGGCGGAAGGCCCTCTTCAGCCTACTTTCAGGAATCGTGGCAATGGGTGGGTGGGGGTTCGGGTGAGAAAGTTGAGACGGACGAAATGAAGACAGAAGAGAATGAAAGATTATCTGTGGAATATTACTGCCCCAGCATTTGCCTAAGTGATCCAAGGAAACCACAGAAAAACTTGGACCAAGGCAGACGGACCCGGAATCGAAACCGGCGTCCTCCCGAATGCTAAGCCTCTAGGCCATGCCGCTCGGTCGTCTCAAGTATATTGTCAGTCTTCCAAGTGTCTGTCCATCCATTTGTTACGATACCACAACCCCCCCCCCTTCCCTCATCACTACTATCTCATTTTTGTTGAATAAAAAACTACCTCCGCAGTACTATCACCACTGACAAACATACCTAACAAAAAGTGTTTTAGTACTTCTTGATTTTAACTCTTCAATTATGAGAAGATATATATGTATTTGCTTTCAAAACCAACACCCCTTTAATTTCTAAACTATCTGCACAAGCCAACCATTATTATTGGTGGATACTTTCAACGAAAGTTATAACGAGCTATGAATGGGCAATAATTTTAATCAGAATATCTTTACTTTTAGTTTGTAGACAGTGCCGCATGAATGAAAATTCTTAAAGTCCTTGATTCTATTACACATATAGACCCATGTACCTTCTATATGATACCACAATGAAAGCTGAATGTGTCGATCTTTGTAATTTGATCGTAATATATGTAACCGTTACTAACGCAAACACAATTTCCTAATTGCTATTAAGAATATGTGTGGATAATCCATATTTTTGAATAAGTAATTAAATTTAAAGTATTGATGAACGTCTACAAAAGAGACCCTAATGTGTGCACCTTCGACAGGGCCTTGATTGTTTGTTATCAAATATTAAAAATACTAAAACAGATAGTAAAAGCATTTCCTTACTACACCTATTTCAATACGTTCATCATCCTTATAACGTCGTCAGTCCTAGGGCTATAAGAATCAGAAAATTAAGATAAAAAATAAAATAGCTATTCATCTCAAAACTACCTGAGTAAGTAATTGATATGTAATAACAACAAAAACAAACAATAGATATTAATTGTTACTGAAAGGTACATTTCAGGATGAAAAGATGTAAAAGGAAGTTCTTACAGTCGCAACTGTCTACATTCAAGGTAAATAAAATGGAATGTGAAATACTTTAACGATAAGTTGTACTATTAATATACATATATGAATTGTACACGCTGTGCAATTGTTGTCCACCTTGAAATGAACTTCAATAGAAAAAAAGTTAAGATAATGTTATTTCAATGATTGTTACATGTAGTATATAGAAGAGGCAACACCATATATTGAGAAAATAATAAATGCCTAAAGGTTTTATAAATCAAATTTTAACGAGTATTTTAATTTAAAAATACCAAAAGAGTGCTATCGATACAACTAAATTTTTGATTAATATAATAAGTTGTTATTGAATGTTAATGAAACTAACTATTTTGTTACTAATTCATATCAAGTTGCATTATGATTTCTTGTATATTTATTATAGTAAGTACCGAAATTGCACTTTATAAATGTGAATAAAAATTGTAACTTTTATTTGCGCCTAGATAAAAAGAAGTCACTCGCGAACGGTTAATTTACAAATTCGAAAAAGATTGTTAAAGTTGTATGTTTGGAGAGCGGCGCTGTACGAGTGCGAAACATGGAGGGTGAGCGCTGTGAAAAAGAAAAGGTTAGAAGCGTTCGAAATGTGGTGTTATAGGTAAATGACAAGGATACCGTGGATAGAGAAGGTTAGAAATGAAGAGGCATTAAAAAGAATAGGAGAACAGAAGACTCTATAGAAGACAATAAGAGGTAGGCGAAATAGGTTGGTAGGACACTTTCACAAGCATATTAGAGGTTTTTGAAACAAAGTTCAGCGATTCTAAAAGAAAAAACAGAACAACTAGCATTTAGTTAAGATGCAAAGTCTGGTGGCTGACCAATTTAATTAATTTTTTGGAGTAATATAGCAGAATTTATTTAAAAATCTGATTAGTATTTTATAGTTTATATATCTTTTAAAAAATTATAGACAAAATAGACCTTTTCACCTAGTTAAAATTGCTTTTAAATTGCAGTAATAAAATCATAAGTAATATTTTAAATGCGAATATGAGTTTGTTTGTTTGTAATAATTTCACGCCTTAAATACTCAAATGATCGTCATGAAATTTTCTACACACATTGTCAGGAATACAGTAAAGGATATAGGGTGCTTTTTATCCAGAAAAAAAAATACCGAAGGATGGAAAAAAATTGGTTTTATGTGGTCCAGCATATCATACGTAAATTGCTCGGAATTAAATTGAAATATACAATACTAATAACCGAAATATTATTTTATATATAGATGAAAATTAATAAAAAGTCGCGATTAAAACTTAGTAAGTAATAATGCAGTAACAGCCTTAAAAATAGACTTCAAAGGATCTCAATTATTTGGTGACGGCGCTGGCCAAGTCTAATAGTGTATATGTATATCTGTCTTAATCTAACCACTGACTAGTTTCAAATGACTTATTGTTAACAAACCCAATAACAGTTTCCCCTTAGGTACTCTAGCTTCTTCAGGGGTCGACTGAAGATGCTACAGTATTAGAGTTACTTAGTAGTAATAGTATAGAAAGGTGTAGTGTTTGTTGACAATTACTCCTTAAAATCAATATTACGTACTTCTCTCGTGCAATATTAATTTAAAATCATTTTTATTTACCCACTAGAAACTACCTCAAATTAATAAGGGAAAAATTGTTGCTGTTGTCACACCCCCGCCGGGAATCGAACTCGGGACCTTTGGCTTTGCGCACCAATGTTACCCACTAGAAACTACCTCAAATTAATAAGGGAAAAATTGTTGCTGTTGTCACACCCCCACCGGGAATCGAACCCGGGACCTTTGGCTTTACGTCAGAGCATTGGTGGTAGGTGGTGGAGGTAGTTTGTAGTGAGTAAATATAAAATCGAAAAAATGATTTCAAATTAATATTGCATATTAATCCACTATTAAGTAACTAACAATGTCATAGGATTTCGTATACTTCTCTCATGTTTAAATCATTATAAAATACGACAATTTCAACAGTTTTACAACAATTTTACTGTTTCATTATGCAACCAACAAATAAATTAACTTTGTTCAAACTAAATGAAATGTGTAGCAATTAATAAATAATCATTCTAATTTATGTTTAAACTAACTTTATAGCAAAAAATTACGGGCATTGAAACTGAAAAATTTGACGTTTCTTATAATATATCCATATATTCTTTCCTTTTGTTGTTTTGTTTTGGGAAATCGTAGAGATATCAACATATCAAAAGAAAAACAAATTCAAACATTTGACAGAAGTCCATTATACAAAAATACAAACACATACATAGGTCGATAGAGTAAAGTTCTGTTTTCTGGTTAAATTATTAAATTATTGTGGATAAATTCTAATAGTCGAGAAATAGGAATTTGTTTAACGACAAGAACTGTGAAAGCCGAAACTCTGTAAAGGTTGGAAGTACTACAAGATGCAAACTACTGCTTCAAGTACCTACTGTTAAAATTATCTCGAGACTCACCTTGAGGTCGTGCAAAACTTCCTTTGTTTTAGAGCTCGCATGCAACATTAATCCTGTTAATTACTTAAGGACGCGACAAAAGAAAAGATATTCTTGAAATTAAAGAACATATATTTCACACAAAAGGTCATGACAAAATACAAAAAGGAAACCACTGGCCATACACAAACAAAAAACAAAACAAAATCACGCATCCATGGCACTACGAATAATGCACCCAACAGTGAAGGTATACAGGTGGAAATTAAAAAAAAAAACAAACGTGCAAAATAATGCAGACGTGCAACATAAATTATTTACAAAGTATATTTTCAGCTTTATGTACACAAGTTAACATTAACGATACTTATAGTCTAATTATATTTAATTAATATTTATTATTTAGTCATTACGTGTTCGTGGAGTTCTCTCTATGATTGCCTGAAAAATTGTCGCTCGACTTTTGACTAGAATTTTGAGTGGATAATTTTTCACCCAGCGAGACCGCAATCGGAGCGATTTTGATAGTTTCAGAATTAAATTCCGGCGTTATTTCTACCACTTTCGCCCTTAGGGCTCCATTTTCGTGAACTATGTTCATGGGATGGGCGAACATGTACGGTTCGATTTTCTTCTCCTCTCTGACAGGAGCTTTGGGTTGGATAACCCTTACGGTAACCCTATGTGAATTTTCTGTCTCTAAAGCTTCCTCTTCTTCTAAAGGAAACTTGTCAGATTCCTCCTTGAAAGGTCTGTAATTGAAAAGACCTTCCAGTGGTATAGTGGCACTTTCGAAGTTATGGGGAGGTTTTGCTGTGAACGTATGGACCATCGATTTGGAATCTATGTGTATCTGGTCTGCGAGATATTTATCGGTGGCTACTTGCGCTAGTAGATTAGGGTCGAAGGTGAGTTGAGACGAGGCAGGGTCATGAATCGTGGGACCATCAGCCAAACTCCTAGTACCGTCCACGATATTTACAACTTTTAATCGACTTATAACGCCAACCTTATCGACACTTGGTAACAAGGTGACTTCCTTGGCTTCTGAACTGTCATCGGTGTCTTTTTTCAAAGAAACTTTCACAATTCTATTCACTTCTATCAGTTTTTCCAATTTTTTCGTGGGTGCTGCTACTTCAGTAACATTGGCCACTACTTCAGTGACGTTATCTCCAAATGATGGATTACTAACATTTCCATTTTCCTCAAAAACGTGATGGTATTTAGCTGTTGTTGTTTCATTGTCAGTTGTAATGTTACTACCGTCGGTTGTGATTGAAACTGTTGAAGATACTTCGCCAGTTGTGCTGTTTGGTTGAATTGTGGTCACAGGTTGCGGTTCAGTATGGCTTTCTGTGGTGTTATTGCTCTGTTTGTGTAAAGGATTTTTGTATTTACGAGAGTTACTGTTAAAGAATTTGTTTCTCGCGTCTAAGGCTTTGAGTATGTTAGCTGTTGATGAGGATGGCGATTCAGTCGTAGTGGAGGAAGTTTTGGCTTTAAAACCTGTTGGTGGTTTCCGAGTAAACGATGGTCTAAAGCCGAAACGAGGTTTTTGAGTTGATATGGTTTTTAAATCTTTCGGAATTTCATCATCTATTACTTCTTTGGAAACGTTGCTATCGTTTTCGATTTTGTCTCCATTTTCTTCTTCGATGTCGTTTTCTTCACGACCATGGTTCGATGTATTTTCGTCTTCGTCGTTTCTACTTTCGTTTAAAATACTTGACGTTACAGGTTTTCTAGCCCCGCCATATCTACTGTTGTATATTCTAAATTGGGGTCTCTTTTCACCCGCTTTGTCTTTATCGTCATCGGCAATTTTTAGAAATAGAGGGTTTGACTTCTGGGTCAGTTTCAATTTTGGCCTAAGTGAATTCGGAGCATATAACTTATTTTTAAAAGGTTTAGGAGTAGTAGTAGTAGTTGTTGTGACAGTCGTTGTAGTGGTAGAAGCAGTTGTGGTTTCCGATGTAGATGAAGCTGCTGTAGAAGAGTTTGTTGAAGTATCGATTTCTGATGTAGTCATCTCAACATCAGATAATGTAGTACTATCTTGTATTTCCATTTCCTTATCACCTTTTTGACCAAGATCTTCATTTTCTACTTCTGATTCTATTTCTGTTTTAGCATCACTTTCGCCTGGAGGTTGGAGCGTTGATATTTCGTTGTATACATCAGTAGTAGTTGTTGGTGGAACGTCAGGCAATTCCGTAGAAACATCAGTATCATTCAAAACGTTATCTTTATGTAAATCTTTCAATAACTCATTCCTCAATGTTGTAATTTCTTCAGAATCGAGAACTGTAGTAGAAAGACTTTCTGCATTTGATTCAGTTGATAAATTCACCAGTGATTCTGTTTCAGTAGAATAATCCAAATTACTTTCAGTTGTGGGAGTAACAGCGAAAATATCTTCAAGAGAAAATGTCGAAGAAAAGTTAATTATGCTGTCATCGGTTGTTGCGATCAAAGGATTTGTTTCTGACGTGACTTCTGCAACATCTTCTTCTGTAGATTGTTCAAACGCAGCAGCAGTTGTGGAACGACTGCTTGTAATTTCGAAATCAGATGTTGATGCTTGAGAAATAGTTGTGGATGAAAGGGGTCTCGCGGTTCTTTGTATGCTACTGTACGGACGGCGAGAATATCTTCTGAACAGATCGCTTTTCGTCGTGGCCTCAGTCGAAGATGGTCTGTTTAAATATTCAAGTGAAAAGCTGCTCTTCTTTTCGGCACTGAGTTGTTTATTTCGTAGGAAAAGACTTGGCCTTTTTATATATTTCTTCGATGTGGATTCTGTGTCATCTTCAATTGGACCTATTTCTGGCTTTTCTAAATTTTCTACTTTTTGATTTAATCCCAAGGAATTGAATCTGCTGCCCTGCGGTCTCAACCTCCGTATAATTTTCTTAGGTTGTGTTCTCTGTCCAAAGTCATCAATTGAGCTGCTAACCGCAGTCGTTGGAAACTCAGTTGTCGAAAATTTACGTATTATTTTCCTTCTCCTGGTAAATTTAATTCCTTCAGTTGTAGACTCCTTATCATCATCTTCAATGGTATGAGAGATGGGAAATGTTTCTTTCCTAAGAGTTTTCTCAGGTAAATCTTTACCAAACGGATCGATATTTTTGGAACCTACTCCAAAAAAGTCATTTCGGTTAAAATCGGTGTTTTTACTTTCTGATATAATAGTTTCAGATAGTTTTATATTTTCTTCTTCCTCTTCATCGGAAATATTCTCTTCGTTTTGAGGACCAGTTTCCTTTTTATCATTGTCGTCCAGCTGATCAGTACTGTTGGTGGTGTTTGTATCATCTAGTAAATCACTGTCACTATTGGAGATGACATTTTCCGTACTGGAGTTATCGTTGCCTTCATTTATTATTTGGGAAATTTCGTCTGTTTTATTTTCAACGGAAGTAGTTTCAATTTTTTCAGTCGTCGTTTGTCTTTCAGTCGTTGTTTGTCTTTCAGTTGTTGTTGTTATTGGTTTTTCTTCTACAGAGGGCGTAGTCGTTCTGTGTAACAAACGTCGTATCACTTTTCTTCTGGGTTTTACCGAAGAACTTTCAACCTTCGGCTGTTCTTCATTTCTATTTATATCAGTAGATACGTTTTGGTTCAAGTTTATTTTGAACGAAGGCGTTTCTTCCAAAACGACTGTAGAACTGGAACTATTAGATGGATTCGTTTCTGTTTTAGGTCTTCGAAAAGCTCTATTTCTAAAGGAAATCCTCTTGAAGTTTTCAGTGCTAGTTTCTGTTTCGTTTCTAATTTCCAAAGGTCTTCTATTGATTAGTGTGTTTGATGTGCTAACAAATGAGTCTGCGTTTTCATCGTTGTTCCTGTTGGCAAGTCTACGTCTTTTGATGGGTAATGGAACGCCTTCTTGCAAAGATACTTTATTACCTGGTAGGTTTTCCCTATTTAAAAACCTTTTATCTTCAAGAGTCTTTATTTTGATATCATTTGTTTGGCTTGCTGGAGAACTCGTTGAACTGGTTGCTGTAGGTCGACGTCTACGATGATTGTTTTTGAAATCTTTCGTGACCGCAATATCTACAGCTGTAAGAGAAGATAGATCAGCCAGTTCGGCGGAAATGTCCGGCCTAAACGTTCTAATTTGATCGGAACCATCCACTTGGTTTGGAGTCAAGATTTGAGAGTTTGCTGATTCGAAAGTCTGAAGTCTGAAACGATTGCCTCCCCTTCTCCTTTGGAGTGCCTTCTTGTTTTCGTATTCCGATTTATCATTGTCAATTTTTTCGTTGGAACTTTCGAGTGAGTTCAAACTGGCTGCCAATTTTTCGTTGGGAGCTTCGACGGTTGGTCTTGGACTTGAGAGCTTTAGAGGACGCTTTCTAAGTCTATTAGATGAAATATTTGGACTCACCTTCGGGGTTGCGGCGGTAGTTGAGGTAGTCGTTGACGTGGTGGTCGGTCGTGTTCGTCTACTTATTAAGAATGGAGTCGGTTCAGAAAGTTGCGGTATATTTTTCGTTTCCTTTGCCGAAGATTCGGACGTGGATTTTTCTGTTGATGACGAAGGAGAAGATTGAGTGGTTGTGGTGGTAGGAGTTTCTTTTTGGTCTTTTGTATCTGTGGTGTCGTTTATTGAGTTAGAATCTTCTATGCTGTTTCCGCCCTCTGAAGCAGTTGAAACTGTAGTTTGTTCTTGTTCTGCTTCCTTCTGCGAAGATTCCTCGATCTTGTCGTCCTCAATTTTTATTTCTTTGGGTTTGTCTTCTGCACTTGAAATTGTAGTGGTTCTGTCACGAATGGTGACGTACCTGATAGAAAATACAGCAGTTAAAAAAAATAAAGAAACAACAGTTTCATTATTCTCTTACTGCGGAGTTGAAGATTCTGTGGATGTAGATGGGCGTTTCCTTCGTACTGTCACGTATTCTGGGGATGCATGAGAAGTGGCTTCTGTAGTGCTGCGCCTTACACTAAAAAAGGTAAAAAAAGGCAGTATAAGTAACTAGGTATGATAAACATATAATAATTGATAATGAATAGATACTTAGCCAACTGTGTAAATTGCATCCTCTTCCAGCAGTTGCACTAAATTCATTGTTAAAACACCTTCACCTTTTATCACTTTTGTTAAATAACTTCCACCACCACAATCCCCACACGAATATACATATATACAGGGTGTATGTGCATTACATGGGCGAATAGAATGTTAAAAAGCGAATTAATGATATAAAACAGTATGAAAACTTTTCAAGCCGATAATATTCTCCAGATGATAGATTAATATGAAGAAAACGAACTATTGTTAATTATTCGACAGCGTTTTTTATGAATTTACGATAACTATAGGCACTAACTGTGGAATTAAGAAACTGTAGTATTTCCCATTACCTTCAAGGAGATATTAGTTAACCATAGCAATTGAAATATTATCTGTATGTGAAAATGGTTAAGCCATTTTCCAGACGAGTTCAAATTTCACGTTAGTTTTTTATTAGGTATTCAATTTCCTACGCAATTCGAATTTGGTTTGTGTTTTAGTATCATATAAAAATATGCCAGTACCAATAAGCCAACCGTACCATTTTTCAAACAAGAAGCAAATAATTTTTGATAAATCACTTACGATTTTGAGTCATCATCATCTGAAACTTCTGAAGCTGTTGTACCGGATGTCGTACTAGCAGTAGTAGTCGTTGTTGTTGGTCTACTTCTGCTAATGGTTACGTATTCTGGATGATTGACCCTTCTAAAGGTTGATTTCGACAGTGGTGCCTCGGTGACTTCTCGGTTCAAAGGTTCGTCCTCAATTTCTTCATCTTCGTATTCTTCATCATCGCTCTCCAAAGGTTTTTTCGGTTCTTCTTCTGCTGGTTTTTCTGTTGATGGTCTGTAAAAGAAGATCCATTAGTTCAAAGTGGATCCCACATGGATTCAAAAAGGTACCTTTGCCTTTGGATCGTTGTATATTTTGGCGTTGATTTAGAGTAAACGGAAGATCCAGTTGCTTCTTTTGGAACACCTTCGTTTTGAGGACCTCTGCTGTTTCTATTCAGTAGAGTATACCTAATAAAAAGGAAAAGGCATTTGAAGATTTTTTAAGGAAATCGGAATTTCGATGTTTCACATTTGCAAGTGTTTTGTGACGGCCACCTTATAATTTTTTTTTTATCTACTTACGCAATAGAATTTGATTTTGCTCTGTCGTTTTGGGCAGCAGTCTTACGGCTTAAAACTCTTTCATACAACGATTTGCTAATGGTGGAAGGAGTAGTTGAATCAGAAGACTTGTTCAAAATGCTACCGTCAGCTTCTAAACGTAATTGTTTCTCCAATTGTTCAATACCTCCTGAAAATTTTAGAATATTAAATTATATTAAATAGAGAAATAAACGGCAGAACAATTCTGGTTACTGGGCACTTGCCTGCTTTTTTGATGAGTTCTATGAGTTCCTTGATGACTCTAGGATCTTCTTCGGTATGTTTGATTCCAACTTCTCCTTCCTCGTCTTCAATAATATCGTCTTCATATTCGTAGTCGTCCTGTTGGAAGAAACAATGAAATTTAAGGAATGAGATTGAAAATTGAAGAATGATCTACGCCAGAATTGATCCATTGGAAAAGTGTATTGGTTCTGAACTTACATATTCGGGAGTAGTCGTTGTGGTCGTTCGTCTGGTTGTGGTATATGCTGTTGTGGTAGAAGCTTTTGTGGTTGTTGTTGGTTCTGCGGTGGTCGAACTGGCTTTCGCTTTCTTTTTGATATTGCAGAAAACATTTTGTGTATAATCACAAGAATCTGCTGCCTTGTTGAAGTAAAGACCTGTATAAAAATGAAATGACCTTCAATATCGACGGTATCAATACCGTTGATATTGATTAATATCAAAAACCACTAATGAATTAATGTTTTTATAACATAAACATTAGGTAAATAAAAAAAGTTCAGACCGGTCACTACTAATTTTGAGAAGCCAAATATAACAATTAATTTATTAGTAATTCTATTAAATGTCGTTATTATAATACTATACACTATTGTATACCGTTCCTTAAACGTTGAAGGTTTTACTTATATTATGGTAATCACGTTTTAATAAAAAATAAAATAAATATACGCAATTTTCATATGAACGGTCGCAATGCGTGTAATTGAAGATGACCTCGACATTTTACCGTTTAAATGCATTTATCTTGAATATTATTTACAGGATTACAGCAACAGCTTACCTGAAGGGCATGTAAATTGATGAGCAACAATTCCTAATTCAGAAGGTCCACTGCTCAAACACCAGAAGTACTTCTTGCAGTCTCTTGGATGAGGGAAGAATCCTTCGTCTTCACATTTAAAATCTGAAAAAGAAATATTTAATTCTTTTATTTGTTCTATTAAAAGTAGAACAGCATTTCCAAGTTAAGGTCATGGCGATGTAGTGTACCTATTACATTTCAGGAATCACAGTCACATATTATTGAATTCTAGAAAGTATTTTAAGAAACTTTTTGGATGTAATGACTGACAAATAGTAAATAAAGAATAAAATTTATAATTGTATGATAGGGATTGATTTGGTCAAATGTGAATTTGGAAAGCTTACCACTTCCTGAATCAGGAGTTGTTGGAGGTTCCGGCGTGTAATATTTAGGGGTTGTGCTGGTAATACTTCGACTGGTGGTTGTAGAAGTGGTGGTGGTTGGCCGTCTTCGCCCTCCTTTTTTTCGTGAACTTGAACGATTATTAAAAATATCAGAACGACGTTTGGAGTCTTTATCATCATCCCTATTCTTTTCCCTAATGGAGAAATATAAATTTTGTTATGTGGAAAGGTTTTTCAAATGATTTAAATAGTTAAAATTTGTTAACACGTGTTCTTGTTTACCTTAAGGCATTGATACGCCTTCTATGTGATGTAACTTCACCATTTTGTCTTCCTCCACTGTTTTGTATAACAGAATTTTCATCTTTATTTTCAATTTTCTTGAAAGGTTTGCGATTTCTTAAAGGTTTGGTTTTGGATGGTTTTTTGCTCGAAATGACATTACTGGAAAGATTGAAAGACATTATTACCACCTACATAAGAGAAGTTAAGTGGTTAATTTTTACAATTTGGAAGTACTAAAGGAACCAATAACTGAAATTTATAATGAACTTGGAATCATCAGTGAAAACCTTTGTACGGGGGGTAATAAATAAAATAAATGGGAGACTTCAAAATCAAATAACTCAGTGGTTTCTAATCATAACTCACATTAATTGATACCAAATCGATCGGAAAACAATGCTCCTTTTGATTAATTGATAATTACGTAAATGTAAACAATATGAATTGATGATGTTTGCTTTGATTTCTATCATGCTTTTGTAAACATGATGGATTATAGGAGCTTGCTGACTAACTTTAAGCTTGTTGGCCATAAATCCTTATGTCAGTTCTTGTATTCACGGTTAAAAATTTCATTATTCGAGGATGCAATCGGTAAACAGAAAAGGATTTGGTGTCATTTATTAAGGGGATTGACCGCAGTAGACCGCTCGTACCTAGTGTAAATTTTTCCGAAAATATGGGTTTCTATTCTAAACATTGTGATTTAATGCTGCGAGATAGATGTCTGATTTTTTGTATGGTAACAGACAAACGTTCACACTAACTCGATACGTTTTTGGTTTTCAATAATATGGTCATTAAAAGCTTTTACGAGTGCTTAAAGTTGAAGCTTTTTGTAGGACACGTATTTTCAATAGAAATTAAAAAATTAAAAAATGACTTTCGACAAGCTTTACAACAAAGCGTTATCTATCTTACTACAAAATTTCAAACCTCTGTTCCAAACATTAGACTCATGATATCTAGAACCGATAAGCATGTTTTTACTCTACGGCGCATGTACTACTGAATCCCCTTTATGTATCGGCAACATTTAAGTATGTACGTGCTGAGGCAGCTTTTATAAAAGATGTAACCGAGTGGACTAATTCAAAATTCAAAACAAAAACAAAAGTCACTAAATTTTCTAAACTCTTGTCTAAAGCTGATTATAACGATCAATTTTAATTGCGAATTTCTCAATAAATTGATTTTATTCTGATGCATATTGGTTTTATTATTTTGGAACCTTAGAACGTATCCCCTATGATTTCATACTAATTACCATTCCATATCCACGGTTTCTGTATTCGCGGCATATTTATCCCTCTGTGTAGAATTTTCGTATATTTCTTACCTGGTTGCAGCTATCATTGCTTCCTTTCCAGCTTCAATGAGAGGATAGGGTTTTCCAAAGCAGTTTCCCCTAAAGTCGTCGTTATCCACGGACCAAAACATGATACCGCCCAATCCATTTTCGGCAACATACTCAGCCTTCTTTTTTACAATATTTTCGTCGTCATATCCTACCCATTGATTTTCTTTATACGCGTATGGACCCATGGCATCTTCATTTGGTTGAACTACTGTCCAACCTTCTGATTTTACTTTTTCACAAATCTAATGGTCAATAAAATTTTGTTAAGTTTGAAACACACCTTGTAGGAAATTTCTTGATAATGAGTAGATACGAATCATTCCAAAGGATTTTTGGTCTTTAATTGTTGAACTTTATTACGTTTTGAAATTATTTACTACTTCAATTCTATTGTATTTAACTTTAACAACGATTTGCTTGATTATTGTGTAGCAACTCTCCCAAATTGTTATAAGATGAATAATGATATGCATAATAATAAAAAATCTGCAGTTAAGATCGAAGGTTCAATTTGTTAAAATGATTAAAGCGTACCATTTATCTTCGACTCTAGATAATGTATTTCGCTCATGTTTTTTAAATAGGATTATTGTAACATGATATTTCACAACACAAACAGATTTCAGAAAATCCGATTAGGATGTATAGGAGCCAGTTACTAAATTAATAGGAGTAACAGCTGGCTTTTTAAAATTTATGATTAATAGTCGTAGTAAGAGGAAATGTTTACAATTCCGCATACATTTTGGATTTGTTTGGGTGTGCAATATTAATGATCATTTGTATACCATGTAGTGGTACATAGATATACCTATAGTATAAGTAGGTACCTCGTAATAGGCCAAGTAGCCGTTTTCTCTGGTGGCGTCACCCATATCTCCAGGGCCATCAGCCGGAGCTCCCATTTCATTGGCTTCCGGATTGAAAAGTGTATAGGATCTTCCATACGTCGGAATACCGAGTACCAGTTTCTCGCTATCCACCCCATTTTCCAAATAGTGTTGCACGGTGTGATGCTGTTAGAAAATTAAAATAAAGAAAACATCAAGTTACGGCAATATGACGTCATCTACTAGTATTATATGGTGCTAACTGAAGTAGTTCAAAAGTTAGGTAAAGACCTAGCTGTTTGTCCAACTGAATTTGATGACAACCGATGGGGTAGAGTAAGGCAATAAATATTTAATTTAAGAAAAAATTGAATCCTTTAGGGGTTGTTGAGAGGAAGAAATCAGTGCTCGCATTTGCCAAGTCGGAAAGCTCACTGCTTTGAGTATTTTATACATATTTTGGATGATAAATAACTGGATTCATTTTATTTGATAAGATTAAGAGCATTAATCAACTTGGTAGCGTTAGAAATGTGGTGTTACATGCGAATGATGAGGATCCCGTGGGCAGAGGTTAGAAATGAGGAGGTATTAGAATGACTAGGAGAATATAGGACACTATGGAAGTCAAAAAGAAATAGGCGAGATAGATTGGTAGGATACCTTCTCAGAGAAATATTAGAGATAGAAACGGAAGTTAGGAGGGGTAGAGGTAGACCTAGATAATGTTACTGTTCGCAAATAGTTAGGGATGTGGGTTGTTCTAGTTTTAGGGAAATGGATAGAAATGAGTGGAGGTGCGTGTCCAACCAGTCTTAGGACTGACGACTTTATGATGATGGAAACCTGTAGCTTTTGCAGCCGTCCAGAATTTCAGGAAATTCGTAGAATTGTCGGTTCGGCGATACCTATCTACAATTACAGCAAAACTTTGTGGAATAACCTTACAAATCTAATTTAGGGCGCTATCGAAGACAACAAGAAATAGATCATGAAGGGCTAGTTAGAGTCACATTGGAAGCAGTAACAGGAGTTAAGGGGGCTAGAGGTAGACCTAAATTAAATAACTGTTCACAAATAGTTAATAATGTGGGATGTTCTAGATTTAGGGAAATAGGTCAGGATAAGAAAGAGTGAAGATGTGTGTATCCAACCAGTCTTAGGCCTGACAACCTTATGATGATGATGAGATGGTAAATGTAAAATTAAAATAAATTATTGCCATACTATTTATTTAAAAAGAAAGACTTACTATGTTGAGATCTGCATCATAATTGTATTCGGATTCTTCCTCCAAAGAGTAGAGCGGTGCGTGATGATTGACGGAAGGTTCGAAAGCAGAATGGTAATCGTAACTTAAAATATTCATCCAATCTAAGTATCTGAAACAAAACGAATGTTTATATAGAGTGCCTTCAATTCAAGAATTTCTAATGAGTGTGAAAGGAATATGTGAACATTTTTAAATCCATGCACTTACTCTCAGCAAATTAAAAATAAGGAACTAAAAATTAATTACTAAGAAACTGTTATTATAAATATGCAGTTAGAAAAGAGATATCTTATCTCACGAAAATAGAAAGTCTTGCAGTGATAATGGTCTCCAGGTGAAGCACTGCGTGTTGAAACAAGTGAATGAATAAAATTGGAAGGGTTCTCTTGTCAAATGTATTACTATAAAAAAATTTTAATGGAAAACAAATAGTCAAAACGGATTCAGCTGGTTCTGTTTTAATTGTTATCCAACTAGTGAAAGAATAAAGATATGAGGCAATTACAGTAGGAATGGTTAAGTGCCGATGTATCAGTTAGACAAGGTGAAATGGTATTTAATACATTTTGATTGGTTTTGGATGCAATTATGTGGTGACCAAGACCAGTCTTGGTATTGATCTTGGTGTTGCTGATATAATCTCAGTTCGAAAAAATATTAGTTTGTTTTTATACTTCATCTACGTGTTATTCATAGATAAGAACTCTGAGGACATTTTTGTAGATCCCTGTTTTCGAACAGATATAAAGTTTCTTTCTTCAAATTTTTAATGTTAAAATTTACTAAAGCAAACTAAAAACTTCGAATACGAAATTTTTTTTTGTGTTCTCTTCCCCTCGGAGTCCAAAACCTCTATTACTTAAAATAAAAATCCTCTGAAACGAATAATTTGGGCATCGCACCTCAGTAAGCAGTAAAAGTGGTTTGAATCAGGAGAAAGTCTTCTATGTAAAAGACGAAGAATTACTGAATTTTCTAATTTCGAAAAATGCTGGTTGTTTACATAGTTCAGACAGTGTAGAAATAAAAACATTACTGTTAGTGGACCTATCCTAAAGGAAAAAACTGAAGAGTTTGCTAAGTCACTGGAAATCCATACTTTTAAAGCTTAAACATAAACGCTTAGTAAGTAAAAACCTCAATAACTCAAATTATTTTACGTTTCCCTTGGTCTTTATCTTATCAAGGTTCTACTGTATTAAAGTTACTTCAAATAGTTTTACTCATAAATCCACTGGAAGTAATAATTTTTCGTTTAGTCTTACGTATTGGTGTTGGTCTTGCATGATCGGTTTTTGTTTTAGTCTTGGTCTTGTTCGTTAGGTCTTAGTCTTAGTCTTGCTAGTATAAAGGCAGTCTCTTGGTCTTCGTCTTGACCTTTCATTTTAGCAGTACTATAACCTAAACTTCACGACCAATTTTGCTAATTACCACAATCATATAAAACAGACACAGGAAAAATTACAAAACTTTATTTAAGTCTCAGAATAGTTATATTGATACACTATAACTTCTTCCTTCAGGTGGAAGAAAATAGAAAATCATTGTTATCGTCAAGTTCTGAGAATTTCTGTTATAACTACTTCTTTTTATAGATATATATCCAGTTATAAGCGCAAATCAAAACGAAGTAAGCATTTTCATTACTTGTTCATTAACTTTCTATAGCACAACAAATGAATGAAAATTAATGAATTCAGGTGGATCCACTTTCTATTACATAATTTCGAAATGCGACATATTATATGACAATCAGTTGAGGTTCAAGCGTTGTATTAAGCAAAATTGCTATATTTCTAATTTCATAACGAAAAATTTAAAACTGTAATTACGGTAGCCGCAAAGACATGCACATAAGTACGGTACCTATAAGTAAAATAAATATGTATACGTATATGAGTGACAATTTGTAGGAAAGAAAAACGACTATTTTCTTTAATTCTGTTAACTGCAATTATGATATTAAAAATATAAATTACTGTTAAGACGAAATGCCTGAGGCAGCAATCGATATGGTGGCACATTTTATAACGCTGCCGAAAACCGAGAGCGGTGGTCATAAATCATATGAGGACGACACATAATGCTGTATATCTATTCCTACAGTTGTACTGTCTTCAATGATGTTGATCGCTTCTTCGATATATAAATTAAAAAGTAGCGGTGACAGTGTGCATCTCTGTCTGACTCCCTTACTAAAGGGTTGTCCGGAAAGTCATTTCGTTTTTTCCCGACAGAGGATTTAATTGTATTCTTTTGCACCCAACTTCACTTTTCTATCTCTGTAACTCCTCCCTACATTTTTAAGTATATTTAACATCTTATCCTATTAAATATTGATTTGTCCACAAATAAAGGTAACGTCAGATATGTTGACCTATTTTAACGACCCGTGTTATTTATCCTCGAGCCGCCCCTGATTTTTCTGTCCGTAAACATAAATTCATTTTTTTTTTTTGCGACAATACGCTCGTCGCATTATGTCGTGCTCACTTTTGATCCAAATTGCAATAATTATTTATTAGAAAGTTGCTCTGGAAAATAATGTCGCATTTTAGTAACAGTAATAATAGAGCTGAAGGAACTCGCTCATGAGTCAGCGCAATAATAAGTAGATAATTACGTTAATTAGATTAATTCCTGAGGAATAACGAATCGAGATTAAACTAAGAGATAAGCTATATTAAGTTGAGAAGGTTACCTTGTCTGTTTCCATTTTAGAACACACAATTTTTATTTAAAGCATTGTTAAAAATATTAGTTTTAATACCTGACATGATGATTAAATACACGAAACATAACCATTCAAAGAAGAGTTCTGTAGTTAAGTACTTTATTCAACAACGTTTTGTATTTATTGCAGTGTTTATGATTAGCTTTTGTCTAAAATAAGTGGAAATAATATTTGTTCTATACTCAATTCGAAAAAGGTTGTTAAAGGTGTATGTTTGGAGCATGTCGCTGTACGGGTGCGGAAGATCGACAGTGGGCGCGGCGGAAAAGAAAAGGTTAGAAGCGTTCGAAATGTGGTGTTACACGCGAATGATGAGGATACCGTGGAAAGAGAAGGTTAGAAATGAAGAGGTATTAGAAAGGGTAAGAGAGCAGAGGACTCTATTGAAATCAATAAAAAATAGGCGAGATAGGTTGGTAGGACACCTTCTCAGCCATGAAGGTCTAGTCAGAGACATATTAGAGACAGAAACGGAAGTTAGGAGGGGTAGAGGTAGACCTAGATAATGTTACTGTTCGCAAATAGTTAAGGATATGGATTGCTCTAGCCTTAAGGAAGATTAGCGCAGGATAGCTAAGAGTGGAGGTACGTATCCAACCAGTCTTAGTACTGACGACCTTATGATGATGATGACTCAAGAAAAACGATCTTGCGAATTTCTTAAATAAACATGAATAAATTGTGGTACGTATATATAAAAAATAAATAATACTTAGTAGGCAGTAAGTTAAGTAAAATTAGTAGGTAATCAAATTTAATTTAAAAGTTGGAACACTGAACAGCAAAGACGACAAATATCTGCGTGTTACAGATAACATTTTAGCCATTTATTTTAAAAAAATCAGAAATGTTTATATTTATTGTCTTCTAGACTACGGCTATAATCGGAACCTAATACTTTCTCACTTTCGTCTTTACTTGATGAATTCACCATGAAAGGCTAGATATACAGCTCTTCAAACAAGAATTATAATCTTGGTCTTCAGCTAAACATCTTAAACAAAAATATAGATGGTTCGATGTACCGATGTTCTTATAAAATAAATATCAGTAACATCGGCCCTGAAATTATCGATGCATCTAAGCACAGAAGGTAAGTTAGACTCGCGCACAAGCACGTTACTATGCACGTGCACTAATGCACTACCCATTTTTACACAGATGCGATATGGAAGTCCGTTAAAATAAAAGAAACCAACCAATTATTAAATTTTAAAAGCTTATAGTTAAAAATCTTCAAAATTTATTAAACATGTAGGCATCTGTTTACTTGTTTTTTTTTTTTTGTTTAAGACAGAATTTAAGAGTAATAGTTGAGACGGACAGTACCTTGCTTATGCTAAACAAAACTTAAAAACATCTTCAAAAAATATCGGTACATCGATGGTCTCAGATTCTAAACATCAATGATTCAAAAATATCAATGAATCGCTTGCACCCCGATGTACCGCTCGTTGGTATCGCGTACAATTTCTTGTTGGGGTTTGCACAAATGACATCCGCATCCGCAAAAGCTCTGCAGTGATTTTGCGAATGCGGTCTCAAAATTAGTACGAATATTACGTACATGATTGTAGATACAGATGCGAATATTCTCAACATCCGTAGTCTGCACAATTAGATAAAGGAACTATTTAATACTTTCCTTATTTCTTTATAAGTAGCTTTAGTCCGAAATATTTTTAATCACTAACAATAATAAATGCTCGAATTGAGTCAGGACTCCTAAAATTATTGTTAAAGGTGACTCACTTATTAAGTTTCTCGAGATCGTATCCTTTTTTGATATACTCGATTCCTGCAGGAACAGCCATCGTAAGTAAAAGCTTCGGTCTTCCGGTTTTTTCGGATTCTCTGTCAAATTCCTCTCGAAGACCCTGCAAAAAAAAATTCCTTACATAATTGACAGTCTTGATGCTCAGATACAGTTAAAATAAATATTTTTATTGTGTAACTACATGTTTATTTATTTATACAAGAGGGAACATCAATTAGGCAGAAAATTAGGTAATACAGCAGCTAATTAGGGGCTTTTATACAGCAATAAATCTTCTAATAGGCGCTCATAAAGTGTAATGTTGTTTTAAATAAAATTATTAGGCCATTAAATAAATTACAATTATTTCATAGGCAAACATTTGCAAAAAGGAAACTTAATTAGTATTACCTTACAGGCGGAAGAAAATATGGATAAGTAAAAGTGAAAATACTTGTGTATATGATCATAAACATGAAGAGCAACATTTGTAATAAAATCAATATTGATTCTTCAGTAGTTGTCAAGATTCATCTTGATTTAATGTAAAGTATATAGTAACTTCTGCACGATACATGGTGTCCTTAGTTATAAAAATATTTGAAGAAACACAGGGTAGTAGATATTTATCTTAGAGTACAGAGGAAAGGCCTTATTTTTGATATTTTTTGATTTAATTTTCAAATCGATTTTTAATAATTACTTTTTTATGTTTTAGGATTATTCTGTAGTAGTAATCTTTAATCCAATTAGTCTCTTTAAAGAAAACAAAATTTTGTAGAGTATCACGAAATATATTTCAAAAAACGATTAAGTTTTAGAAAATGCGGTAAAGATATAAACAATAATGAGTTACCTGAACAAGTAAAGCATAGTTTTCCTTGTCTCTTGGCTTTCCACCATCCCTAAAACTTGGATATTCCCAGTCAAGATCCAAGCCATCGAAGTGGTTCTGTCTCAGGAATTTAATTGCATTTCTGACGAATTCCTTTCTTCTTTCAGGGCTTGCAACCATTGGGGAGAATCTAGACGACCCTTCATTCCAACCTCCGACGGCTAGCATAGTCTTCAGCTGTTTGTTGTACGTTTTAAGCCCCGTGAATTTTGCATATCCACCTGTAACAACAGAAAAATATTTTCGTCAATTTTAGACATATATAAGACGAAAGTGCGCACGCAATAGGCAACGGAAGTTGTGCGTGCGCAGCTATTGAAAGAGAAGTTAGGAGCAAGCGCGGATGGTGGCTCTGGTTTCGGCGATCGCTGCTGTTGGCTGATTGGGGTAAGTTCGCACTACAAGCTAATATTAATTGAAAACATTATTCAAACAAATTCACAATTCTAGGGTTGTTCGGAAAGTCATTTCGTTTTTTTTTGTGGAAATGAAAGACAGTTTTCGTATAATAAACAAATACTTTATTAAATTATATATTGACCGTTCTGGTCCAACACCTTTTGCCATCTTTCTGGTAGTAGCATAATTCCACGCTCATAAAATTTTTGGTCTTTGCTGGCAAAAAACTGATCGAGGAGGTTTTTGACCTCCTCATTTGAGG